TCCAAAAATTTCTTCATTTTTGGTCAAACATAGAAATAATGCTTTGTTGAGTCAAAATATGGTTTCTAAAAATACTTTTATAATAGAATAACTTTTAGACCATGTTTTGGGGCGTTACATTTCTTCCCCCCTTAAAGGAATTTCGTCCTCGAAATTCATCTAAGATTCACCGATCAATATTTTGTTGTATTTTTTTTAATCATGACTCCGTCATGTTCATTCATTATGATTATGTCGTTATCCCTACGAATACTTATTCTCAAACCGTTATTGTCATCATACTCGTTCTATCTTCGAGAGTTTAACAAAGGTATTCATACATCTTTTTACAGATTCCCATTTGAAGTCAAAAATAATTAAATAAGTTTCCTTTACATCATATTTTGGAGTATACTTGACATATTTGCACATAATTTTGTTTGTTCACAGATCTCGCTTATACGTCATTGATCAACAATATTCTTTGATCGAAAGCTCTTCAATAGCCCTTGTAGTTTCGAATCATTATATTAACGGAAGGTATAGTTAGGGATTTGTTTTAATTCATACGTCATAGTGTAATCTTCTAAGTCTTTAAGACATCTTCAGCAACGACTCATAGATAACATTAAATGGATTTTAAGTGTTCATGATTTTTCAGAATATGAAGCATCATTTATGAGGAAGTACTGTCGATTGATCATCGATTTACATTGGAATATTTCTTCAATCACTTCATGGTAGCTCTCATTATCGTTAATGAGTCTTTGTATTCATAGGTGATGACGTTCGAGTAGCGTATCATATATGTCTTGTTGTATTTCAAATTTCTTTCATCAATTTGGAAAAAAAATATGTTCACGATAGCGACAGGTTCGATTGTAACACTATGGTTGATCTTGTTTCAAGGGAAGAAGAGAATATCTTCGGGATGTGATTCAATTCACGAATTCAAAGAGTAAGGAATCGTACGAGTTCTTACACCAACATCGCATGTAAATTCGGGATTTTTGCTTGAATGATTTAGCTTGATCATTCTGACGTCATTTTTTTATGGTTATTACTCATACATTCCTTTGTTAGGGTCATAACGGGGTTTGTTTGGTCAATAAGATCATTGATAATAATTTTCAAAGATAGCGTAATCGCATCAATCGTTTTGTAGTTCACAACAAGAGGTTCAACATAATACTTCAAGTCAGGGTAGTTTTACTATTGTGATCGAGCCACGTATTCCACAGGGTATAGTTTTCAAAGATCGGTATCATGAACATCTTTGGTTTTCAAAGAATGGAATTCAATCTTTTCAAGATTGATCAAGCGAGGTATTTCAAGGGTGTAGTTAATACAACATGTTGAGTCATTCAAGGATGTGAGTCACAAGATACAAAGATAGTGTTTGTGACTTATCGTTGCCAATCGTAGATTTTCTTTATTCAATGTTTCACTCTTTGGAAGTTACTCAAGGAGTCATTGTCCTAGGAAATAGTCGTTTTGACTTTTCGTCTCGGATTTGATCGTATTTCAGGACAGCGAATCTAACTATTCATTGGTCTCAATATGTCACATTGTCAGTAGACTACAGTATTGATGTGTACACTTTTGTCTGTAGATAGTTGAAGCGAATTCATTTTTCTGTACGTATTTTGGCTGGTGATAATTACTTTTCCATCAATGGTCAGGTTCCAGAGACTATATATATCATGATTATGGGAAGAGTATCTCACATTCTCACATTATGGAAGGAACTTCTCGAACACTTCCTTACACCATAAGATTCGTTGGTCTTCTTGGCAGTCATTCTCTTGGTAGAAATCCAAAGTTTATGGCTACTGCAGTAGATTTAGGAAGAGAATTGATAAGGCGAAGAATTAGTCTTGCTTATGGAGGAGGCAACGTTGGCCTACAAGGAGCTGTTGCTTCAACAGTCTTTACCAATGGTGGNGAGCTTTTAGACAAACTAGAGTTTGCTAAAGCTTTCCCGGATCCTAGAGCTAGTTATGACAACTTTGTAAATCCTGGAAGATTAGACTTAGAATTGCATCTCTAACATTTCCTTTGTAATCCAAGTTGCATTCATATCGTCCACGAACATTACGAGTTAGCCATAATTATCAATCTAAGCTGCATGGTCAATGCAATTACATTTTCTTCATTCTTTAGTTTTTCACTCTTGGTGTCACTATTTCACTTCTTGTTTTTGTATCGTCACCACGTCACAATATTTCATGTCAAACGAGTCAATTACTTCATTATTTCGATTAGACTACATTGACGTTTTCGGTGATAAGCAATTAGGTCATTAATCGCTTCATAACAAAGCATCAGTTCATTCAACAAGGTTGAGCGGTCTATAGCTTTTAACAAGCAGGTTATTTGAATTTGACCGAATAAGTCATCAAGTCATAGTAAAGGATAGCAATTCTTGATCGTTAGTTTGTTCAAGTTTCTTAACAGGGATTTCTGAGTATCTTGACCGTAAGTCAACCTTAGAGAATACTATGAATTCTCTAAGGTGATCAAATAACTCATGATACGAGGTAAAGGATAACGAATTGTTCAACTAACAGTAGTTGATATAGAATCTCATTAATCCTTATTCATTCGCGTATGAACAACACAGGTATTCTCCCAAGGAGGAAACAGTTGATCAGATGATTCTTTGTCAAGAAGTCATTGATGGAAACACGTTCAATACAGAGTTACAAATATTGGTCCTTTCTAGGATCAAGATTGACAGAGAATTCAATTTCGCGGAATAGTGAAATATTAGACATTTCATATCAGAGAGGTGACATACTTTCGGTACGTTTCTTCAGTTCAGATATTTCTTTTTGGGTAACGCACGAATAGACTTCACACTTGAGATGTTTTCGTATATATATTCGAGATGAACTTGGTCGGTACAGAAATCAGCTTTGCTTTCAGCTCTATAAGGTTACCATCATTGGTCTTCAGTTGAGGAATTCTTCATCACAAGTTGACAACAGCAACGACGTTCAGTCAGCCAATGCATACTAAGGATAATTATCAATTTCCTTGTATGGTTTTTCAACGAGGTTTTGCAAGGAATTGTTGCATTAGGAACGATTTCGATTCATATGATATAATCGAATATTTGCATCTCAGTTAGACATCAGAATGGGATACCCTAGATAACAGAGTTTATTGATTCTAAACGTTCGTGTTTGAATCAGCGATCAGATCGTCTTGAGTCCACATGAGGATCTTTTACATTGGCTTCACAGATGTTGTTCAACATAATCAACACTAATCGTTTCTTCAAAGTCATCTCACTTCCATGCGACCTTTCGATACAGATCAGTTTCGTTATTCGCGATGCGATGCGTATGTTAATAACGTATCAGGGGGTCATATGTTTTTCGTCTACTCTTTCCTCTCTTCACCGAGTACGAAAATTTGATTTGAGTCTATGCTCGATATAATTTTAGTACTAATAATTGTTATCAAATGAGAATTTTAACAAGTCAATATTTACTAAGTAAGTTCATATACCTTTCCTGGAGCAGAGGGATGCGAGAGTCGTAGATTTGATTGACATCATTTTTTTTGGCCGAAATACATATATAACATGTAAAATATATATTTTTTTATCCAAGTTTTAATCCGAAGATTGGGTTTAAAACCATTTGCTCCGATACCAAACTATAACACCCTAATCCGTCCAGGTCTGCAGCCCCTTTCGGACTAAAGTATTGATTTGGTAATTGTGATAATTTAAAACATTTCAAACATTTTTTTATTTATAAATAATATTCCATACATAATTGTAGAGAAATACGGAGTGTTTAAATAAAATGCGAAAGCGACTTTAAAATATGTCTCATAACAACATAATTATTTATTTCATTCTATAATCTACCACGACTGTCTCGCCCCTTGTGCTGCCAGGAATCAGCCAATCATTCATCCTGCCTACCTGCGTGTAGCAAATAAAACACACTACACGCTCAGCGGTGAAGCTGAGTAAGCATATCTAAAGCGTCGAACATCCACATAAATTGAATCTCGATTCATAATCAACCATTTGATATCATGCACACAATATATAATTCAAACATTCATGATGTTCTCAATATTTTATTCCAAATCCTTTGATATTCAATATCTCAACAATGCTCTTAAATTATTCTTAATCTAAGGCCAAATCATTTTATAACAACTCTTAGCTATTCCTAGTCTAAGGCAACATTTCTAACCAGGCCCTTAAACTATAAATAGTTTAATGCAGAACACAAGAATCGATAATCCACCCTATGAGTCATGTGGATTACGTACCAATCGAACAGTGAACTGTCGGGTGGGTGATATCCGGTCTGGATCCCGTACGTACGTTTTAACCCCGAATTATGAATTGGTCAAGGAGGTATATCTTAGAGTTCTTCTAGATATCCTTAATAATCATCATCAATTTTCCAAGTGGGTATATCTTAGAGTTCTTCTAGATATCCTTAACAATATACATCATTTTCATAATCATCAATGTATTCATTTTTTTAATCATGATTTAATCATTCGTAATTATTATTTTAATAATAATATTCATCAAAGTCTAATCATAAACAACATCAATAATAATCATAACAATATCTAATAACAAATAGAGGCCTAGCATCGAGTGTTAAGACCTTATCTTACCGGCATACATCACATAAAATTTTATTTGTCAAAACATCATTTTTATTTTATCACATAAAATTTTATTTGTCAAAACATCATTTTTATTTTTAACAATAATTATTATATTGATCATAATTGATTGGTATATAAAAAATAGGATTTTATAGCTTCAAAAATAGCATTTTTGGGCTTAAAAATGTTCGTAACGGTCGACCGTTGGGTCCGAACGGTCGTCCGTTCCGTTGGAAAATGCAGGAAATTGAAGGTTCACTATTCATCATCTTCAACCTCTAACCCATTTTTCTCAAGTTCCATTTCTGGTCACCAAACTTCAATTAAACTATATAGAAATGTTCTCCAAGGTTCGTAGATCATTTTAGAGGCATCAATTCGAAGTTTTAACAACAAATTCAAGGTTTATGATTCTTGGTTCTTCACATATGTTAAACACAAAACTCAATCAAATGACCGTTTATGAACGTAGAAACGATCTATATGAACATTCTAGTCACTAGATATATCTACGGGCTTACTTCGAAGTAAAACAATGATTCCGGCGGAAAAATGGCGAAACTTCCGGCGAACACCATGGCTTGCTCCGGCGACGGGAAGCTCTCCGGACAGCTTCTCTCAACTCTCTAAACTCTCCTCTAACTAATGGGATGATTTTGGTGTGGAGATGATGAAGAATGAATTGCTCTATATATAAGCCTGGGAGAGGGAGTTGCGTAGATAGCCTGTGATTTCCTTCGATTAAGGTGAGTGGAGGGGGCGACTAATTTAATTCCTTCCAGTTTAGTTTGATTAAATTACCTCAATTGGGGTACACTTTTTGGTCCAACTTTATCCAAATTAAAAGGGAGAAGCACTAAGATAGCACTACTGTACATGTTTTAGTACCTATTCAGCACTCCTATTTAGAGTAGTAATTTCCGCTAATTAGTGTGATGTGCAATTCCAGTTTTGTCCTTGTACTTTAAAGAAGGAAACGTTTTTATTTGAAGGTGGCAGTGCATTTTCCGATTCCAGAGATCGGCTAGTCAGGCGAAAGATTCGCGTTTATCGTCTGTTGCATGCTTCCGGATTTCGAGCTCGGTGAATCAGGCAGTTGTTTCGCACTTCCCAAAATTAAATTCTGGAATTATGAATCCTTCGGAGTTTACAACACCAGAGAGATCTATTCCACAAATGAGACGCAGTGCAAGGCTTGCAATGGCTACTAATGATGCATTGCGTGGTCCAGAACAACCATTGACAGAGGATGATGCGCTGGATGAACTTCCTCTTAGTAAACGGATGGAGAAGGTTCAGGTACGATTTTCCCGTTGATTATATGATGGTGTGATGTTAAAGTTTGGATTTTGGCATTGTTCTTGGCTGTGTTTAAGCGTGTTTCTTGGGTGATTTTGGCATTTGTTTTTCTTTTGTTAATTGGTGGTTTTTTGTGCGCAAGTATGATTTGTGATATGTAATGCCTTAAAATTCAGATTCTGGTAGATGAAAAGGTTTGTTGCTGTTTTTTGAGGTTTTAGCGTTTTGGGGTTTATCCTTTGGATGTACAGAGCTCTGTTCGTGTAATTAGAAGTTTATTCGCAAATGTTTGGAGAGTATTGCGGAAGTTTGTGTGTTTTGGATATTTTTTAAATTCTATTTGCATTATGCATGGCTGTGTTTTAGGTGCTTTTGTTCAGTGATTTGGACATTTGTTTTTCTTTTGTATTTTGGGTGATTTTTGGCATCAAGTTTGATATGTGTTGGGTAATGCCCAAAGTTTCAGATTTTGGTTGATTAAGAGGTTTCCATATGTTTTTTTATTTTTATCATTTTTGGGTATTTAGCATTTGGTAGTAAATGGAGTTGTCGTTGTTAGTTGTAGTGGATTTGGAATTGTTATGAGGTAACATTGTTCTGTTTCGTCTTGGGAATTGAGGTAACAACTGCATTGAATTTCTTCTTGTGATGTTATTTTTTGTGGCATTTGGTTGTGTGTATGTGGTGACAATAGGTTTTCCCTTACATCATGATTACAGTTTTTCCATATGATGTGTAATAATGTGGGTTTGTTGGGTGGTCTTTTTATGGTATGGATTTGTGGTGGGTTACACACAATTGTTGTAGTGCAGTGTGCATGTAGCGGGCATGGGGGTGGGTTTTTTTGGTGTGGAAGTGTGTGGGATTCGGCTTTATGTGGTTTACGCAAAAGGCATTGTTTGGTTTTGTGATTTGTATCTGGCAATGAATTTCTGCATTGGCTCAAAATGCATCGTGGCATTATGCATTGCCATGATCTTCTTTTTTCTCTATGGTCAACATGGTTATTTGATTATCTGATATTCTGTTTTTTGGTTGTAGGTGGGTATAGGAGTTTGGTTTTGGGTTAGAATGCGTAGTGTCATAGTGCATAGACAGATCTAGGTTTCAATTACTGGTTGTCTCGGTGTTTTCATTTCCTTGTTTTCTGGTTTTGCTAGCTGGCCTTGATTTTTTGGGTTGGTCTTTGTTGGTTTTTTATGTGCATATGACTGATTTGTCCCTTGTACAGGACGCACAAAAGGCGGAGAAAGCTGGTTTACTTGATGGCAGGATTAATACATATTGCAACGTTAACGAGGTGGCTAGACAGATTAGAGGGATACTAACTCCGGAGGAAGTTAATCGTTTTAGGGCTTCTGCTTTCGGTGTTCTGTTGGATGTTTTGGACTGCCCATGGATAAGTGGTCAATTGCTCATTCATTTGTTTGGGAATTGTGTGAGGAGTGCTGATGGGGCGGGCATGAAAGACGTGTTGAAGTTTAGAATACTTGGGAACGAAGTGGTGTTGACAAAAGCCCAATTCCATTTGATTACGGGCTTAAAGATGGGGGGAATGAGAGGCAGTATGGAAAATGGTTTGTCGGGTAGATTCGCGTCGCGTTATTTTCGATCCAGTAAATCTGTTAAGCGGAGGGAAATCAGCAATGCATTCCTAAGCTTTAGACGTGATGCGGATGGGTCAATGCCAATTGACGCCCTTAATATGTATTTGTTGTATGCTTTGGCAAATACGTTTCTGGGTAACCAACCCTCTGTTAATTTGCCAATGTGTTAATTGAACTTGGTTGATGATCTGGACGAGTTTAATAGCTACCCGTGGGGGGATGACGTCTGGAGGGAGTTGGTGGATCATGTGTACAGGTGTGCAGTGTGCATTGAAAAGGGGGGTAGTACTAGGCCTACATTCGGAGGATTCATGTTTGCTCTTCAGGTGTGGGCGTTTGAGACATTTCCAGCCCTTGCGGAAGATGGGATGTGTGTGGTGGACCCTGACAGGGTAAATGCAATACCTCGGTGTCTAAAATGGAAGGTCTGTTCGAAGTTGAAGTCTGCAAAAGTGTCTGACGCACTTCTTAAGTATGGAAAGGTTAGCGATTTTTAATTTAGCTATGATTTCCCTTGTTTTCTTTCATTGTGTAGTGTGTTATTATTACGATTTTTGTAACATGTAGCTTGAATGGGCTGTGGTTGAGCCAGCGGATGGGGAGATGTTGCTGGGCAGTGTTAGGGAGCTTTTTAGGTGTTATGCCACTTCTTCAGCGAAGGGGAAAGGGAAGTTGTCTCTAAGTGATTCGAAGAGGGCTCGGAATGTGAAGGAAAAACAAGTTAATATAAGGGAAGCGTTGGGGAAGATGAAAGTTGGTGGGATGGCATCTGGTGCTGGGAAGAGGGAAGAGAGGCGCAGTGTGAAATTGAATAGAAATTATGTGGGGCGAAGAGGACAGGTGCAGTGTGTGGCAGGTAAGGGGTGTGATCACCTGAGCTTAGTGAAGGAAATTGCAGATATAAAGGAGAAGCAAGTTGCACAGGACAGAAAACTGGATGAAATTTTGGGTATTCTCCGATTAAAATCTCCATCTGTTGAAGTTAGGTCGGCATCAGGGAAAGCGTCGTTAATGGGGGGCAATGAGGAAGTTAAAGAGCAGATGGATGATCGTAATGGCGATGGAAATGCAGAGCCCAAAGTGGAATGCGCAAATGATGTCGAGATGTGTTTTGACGCCGGGGGGCCATCCTTCGATCTTTTAACTCCAATGCCGAAAGGTGAAGGCGCCGGAGACGACAATCCAAATCCCAACAGTGGTAGTGTGTCGGTGACAAATGCCTCGGGTTATGAAAAGGAAGGGAAGTGTGTTGAGATCCCTTTCACTGAGACGCGGTATGATACTCAATACCTCGAGCTTATAGACGGGCAAACCGAACTGATGCTAAATTCGTTACAGAATGCCAAAAGTGTAATGTCTTAATCCCATATGTATTTCTTATTCTTCTTTTTTTTTGAATGTCCATTGAAGGGATGTGTAATTTTATGCAATGCTAATTGCATTGTGATTGTGTTCTCTGGAAAGTTCCATTGGTATGTTGTGAAGGTGTTGTGGGTCAGGATGTGGATGATGTGAAATGCAATGTGGGTGAAGATGGTGCGGGGGTTGACTTGAAATGTGAAAACCCCACAGAGCAAAATGGTGTGGGTGAACCAGTGTCCGCTGAGGCTGCTGTTGGGGTAAGTGTTTTTTAGAAGTACAAGTAATTTGAAAAGCACTAATAATCACACTTCCAGTGTAGCGGTCAGGCTGCTTTTTTTTAGCCTCAATTGCATTCCCCTTTTTCGGTGGCCTTTTATTTAATGATGTTTATTTACAGGGGTATGCGGGTTCGAACAAGGGTAAAATGGGGCAGCATAGCGATGAATGCAGACAGAGAGTTAACATGGGTGACGATGATTTTGAGAGAATATTCACTAGCAGCAATGTGGCCAGCGGGGAGCAGGGAGTGAGAGGTGTTCATGGTTCTGTTGTGGTTAGTATTTTTTGAATCAGATGTAGTGGCCAAAAAAGTAATGACTACCTTAAGTTGGGCGTTTGATTTCTTGACATGTTATTTTTCTGGCCATGTGTTTGTTAGAAAATGTTATTTAATCTCGCCTGATACGAAAGGTGTGATATGGTTTGATTAGGCGTTCACTACCGGGTCATATTCAAATAGTGCGTGTGTGGATATTGAACGACCTAAAAGGGTTCATAAGAATCCTGATAGATATACTCCCTCAGAGGCTGAGCAAGATAAGAAGAAGCGCAAGATTGAGCGGATGGAGCGTGCTAGGGAGCGCCTTACATGTGATGGGGGGGCAGTGTGCTTTGGGCCATTTTCCGAAGACCCAAAGCAGATGCCTGCGGATGAAGAAATAGAGAAGGTTAGGGTATTTTTGAAGGAGGGCATCCTGAAACGACAAGGCAGGGGGGACAAGTCATGCAGGTATACAAGTAAGGTGGAGAACATGACGAACAATCCCATTGTCCTGGATGGCTTTAATGTGGAGAACAAGACATGGATATATGAGCTGTTTACAAACACTGAGTGGTTACGCAGCACGGTATGTTTTATTTTGAGGTTCTTTAAGGTTGTTTTTTTTACGACGTACCAGAAACTTTGGCGATGTGCGTAGCTTTAAAATTGGGGGCATCGGATTGGGTTTGTGAAGTGGAATAGCTTTGTGTTTTTTGACTATCATTTGACTTCTGTTTGTTTTTTTGTTTTTTACTGACAATGTGATTGTGGGGAGTTTTTTGGTAAGCGGACTTGTAAGCATGTATGTGGGAAGTGTGAGGGGCTTAACGGGATAAATAGTGTTTGTGGGGTGTCATATGGGATGTAGGATGATTTTATTTAGGACGTGGCATTGAGGGAATGGCTGAGGGTGAGGTAATGGCAGTGTGATTTGTATATGTTTAATGGATGTGAAAGATAAGAGATTTGGTTTTTTTTTTTTGGTTTTTTTATGTGAATAATGACTTTAGTGCCTCATGTTATGTTCTACAGCATGTTGAGATAGCAATGTATTTCCTTGAAGTGAAGGGCAGACAGTACAATCACCTGCAGATGTACACGACAACGAGTCCGTATTTCTTACAGGGGTTGCATAACCACCAAGAATTGATTAATGTTGGTCGGGCGAAGAAGGAGGACGTCATCAATAATCTGAACCTAACTAGCGAGGTCAAGGGATTGGCGCGCGAATATGCCAGGCCATGGTCTGAGTGTGATTTCGTGTATATGCCCCTGAATACCGGCGACCACTGGCTCTTACTTGTCTTGGAAGTGGAAGGAAGGACTATACGGGTGTACGATTCCAAAGGAAAGAAGGGAAAGATTTGCAGGGCTTTAAATACGTATGTGCAATGTATTACAGAATTGCTTCCGGTCCTCCTTGATATGTTGAATGTGTACGACGAGCACTCTGATGGGCCGATGGGCAAACGAAAGTTCTGTATCAAGGCAGTTGATGGTTGTCCGCAACAAAATGACGGGTGAGTGGGGAATTTACACTTTGAATAGGGGGAGGGAGGGTATATTCTAGTTTGTTCAGACTATGCATATGGTTAGGAGGGCTTAACGTTGTGTTTTAAAATGCAGGTGTAACTGTGGAATGTTTATGCTGAAATTTTCGGAGTACCTGATGATGGACAGGGACATCATTGAGGTGCATTCACGCGACATGGAGGCATATCGGGTTAAAATAACTACGGAGCTCATGGTTTACAGTAAGGAGCAAAAAGAGAAGGCCGAATAGAAATAGGCATTTGGTGTGATTTTGCACGACATGTTATGTTAGGATGTGGATTTGGTGTCTGGCAGTATTGGTTTTGGTTTGATTCATTTAGAAGACTGGTGTGCTTTTTTTTTTGGGCAGACACTGACTTTTTTTTTCGTTTATTCAAGTCGAACACCGTTTTAGTGGTGGATGGTAACTTACGGTTTGTAATGTTTTGGTGCATAATTGGTTATTCGTTTTCTGAATGATGTTTTATGTTCCAATTGGGGTATCTTTGGTGTGCATTTTATGAGTGTGTGTTGCTTGGCACTGTATGTTTGGGGGGGATTTGTATGCTTAAGGGTCTAATACTGATATGAGACAGCATGTATGGGAGTTTACACTGCCTGGGCTTGTGGTTACACTGCCTCGTTTGGGGGTGGGTAGTGTGGGTTAGGTCGCACGGTGAGTTTGGGGTGGGGTGTGGGACGTGAATGTTCGGGCTACTATTCATGGTTAATTTTTCAAAGGGCAATATATATGTAAGGAGCTGTAAGAAAATGTATGGTACTTGTGATTGTGAAGTCAGGGTGGTTGTGTTTTCTGCACAGTTTAAGGTTATGTGATTAGAGGTGAGTGTGCAGTGTGAGTCTTGTAGCGGGGTGTGGCAGTGTGGGTTGGGGGTAAGAATCGTGTGTAAATGGCTCAGGGCCAATATGCGTGTGGGTAAGTAATGGTTGTATACAACTCAGACTCATCGGAGGGCGAAATCCCCTGATAATCTAAAATTGTTGGTTTGGCTGGTTTGTTGAGCGCTTTTAGAACTTTGGTATTTGAATTTGGGAAGTTAATGTTTTTGGCAGATTTGTGCTATGTAAGAATGAAGTTGGTTTTTTGGGGTTGGATAAGTACGGTTATTTCTGTTTTTTTCCGGGATAGTGGAGTGGTGGTTTGGACGCATTGTGTTGCAACGACGGAATGTAGCTATATGCAGTGTTAGGTTGGCATTCTTGTCGGGGGGGGGGGGGGGG